CCTGGTCCAGCCGACTGGACTGCATGACAGGTAGAGGAAGAGCGGCCATATTCTCAACAGCTGAACTCTGAGCTGGCGTCCTGAGGGGTCTGAGACGGTTAAATCTGATGTACAGGGGTTGAACTATCACAGAGCATGGGAATCTTCACACATCTATCACTTTCTGTGTAGCTATAGATGTGCTGCTGTTCGTCTGGTGGAAGGCGTGAAAAATGAGCTCGCCATGAACGTGTGAAGTGTGAAGTTTCTGACGCTCCACAAACACGTCCACACATAAACTTACTCAGAATCAATTAGAAAACGATGGTTTGTCAAGACTTTGAATGTTGGCTTGAAAATAAAACAAAGTTTTCTCACACAAACCGCTCGTTTCGTGTCTTAGGCCATCAATGTGTACTTACATTTACGAGTCATTAAATCATGTTTAATTTGAACTTCTCTGTGCATGCTCTTTGAGGTGGTGACCATAGACCTCCATTAAATGACTGACAGACAAGGACGGTTGACCTAAAAATATCAAAATTGAAACTACTGCGGAAACAAAGACACCTACATCTTGGATGGCCTTGAGGTAAGCTAAAACATACCATAAATGAATTTCAAAGTAAAATATCCCTTTAAACAATTTTCAAAGTTTCATTTCTTTAAGTTTAAAGCTGTTTTTAATTGACTAAAATATTTTAAACCTTTAAACTTAAAGTGGTACCGCTGGCAAAATAGACTTTCAAATAAAACTTGTCAGTTTATACAGTAGAAAGGCGATTTAAAAAAACCCAATGCTACCCAAAAATAGAGAAAACTGTCTTCCCTTTTGCCAAAAAAGTACAGTACACTCTAAAAAGAAAAGGTTCTATATAGAACCTTAAAAGGTTCTATCAGCGCTACGTATTTGGAACCCCTAAAAGGTTCTATACACTCTTAAAAAAGGGTTCCTCTGGGTTATATAGAACCCTGGGGTTCCGTACTTGGCCAATAGAACCTTTTACCAAAATAATGGTTCTATATAGAACTATTTTGAAGTTCCATATATAAAGCGGGGGATGGAATCATTTCTGGTTCTAAATAGAGCCATTTTTTCTAAGAGTGTAGCAACTTCAACACCCATAATGCACTGGGCATGTTGCCATCTGAGTCCACTCCCACCAGTCTGCATTAGATACACGACTTACTCTAAGTATACGAAGTTACACTTTAACAGATAGGCCTATCAATAAAATGACACTATTGAAATGTGGAAATATTGAAGAGATTTAATTTATATAACTTTTTTTTTTTTAATAAATGGCTGAATCACAAAAACATGAATGACATGAAATCACAAGCAAATCCTGATCTTTTTTTTAATTAAAATGCATACAAAACTACATCATTAGCACACAATGAATGAACAAAAAGAGCATATTTCAGAACCAAAATTACAAACGTACAATGAGTGAAAAAGACAGTTTGTTCTACAGGAGTGTGTTGTGCTTTTCAGCATGATTATAATCTGCGCACATTACAAACATCACAGACTCGTGGCCTTCAGTGATATTCACTTCACTGGCAACATTTGGGATTTGTTCCAAAACATATTGAGCTTCGCTGCAGCCCACACAGACATCTGCTTTTAAATAACGCGCACGTTTTGTTACAGCCGTGTAGGAAGCTCGCTAGGTTTCGGAACAGAGCCTTGGCGTCAATGCAACACACAATAAAAATCAGTATTGATAGTGGAAATAAATAGATGCATTTTTGGTCTTATTTCGGGCCAGCAAATCTTAATTTAGCCTGATTTGGATTACCCAGCTCAATCATAATCAACAATCACAACAAACTCACATACGATGAGACGACAGGATTTGATATCCACAGACGTTAGTAGGTACAGACTGAGGCACTGAGAGAATTATGAAACGCTACTAAACGCAAAAACGCGGGTTTCTGTTACCCACAAGTCCTTGCGGGAAAGAATAGACTCCCGTCTGTAACTGGACCAGCTCACATTTTGAATCCATCTTTCCCGTAGACTGCGGCTTGAGGCGATAATCAAGGGGAGGCACAATAACCGCCGCCATAAAGGCTTCAAAGCGGCCGTGAATCAAGCTGAACACGGGCACTTCTGCTTGGATAACAAGGCCTGAAGGACGCCCAATGATTGCGAAAGGAGATATGGCTCTCTCCATCCATCTTTCTACTTGTTTCCTTTGCTCTTTTGGGGCTCTTTGCCCTCAGGTGAAGGCAGCAGGTGTGGGCATGGGAAAAACCTCTGGGTTATAGGCTGAAATATTCACTTACACCTGTTACACGAATGTGTGTGTGTGTGTGTCATGGCCACTTTACCCTCCTTGTATGAGCATGTGCACGGTTTTGTTATTCAAATAATCAAGACTGATCTCCTTTCAAACGTGCCCAATTATTGTCTCCGATTTCAGTCATTCCAAGAACAAGGTAGGGAAAATAGACACATAATGTAAGTGCTTAGAGCAACATATTTTTCACACTTTACAGACATAGATGACAACAGGTGATTGTTGGACTCTTTGGCTTGTGAGGACTGAAGGCTTTCAGGCAAAATATCATGTGGAACTCAATCTGGTAAGAATGTCTCCATTATGTGGTTTACAAGGACATATAACATCTTAAATAAATGTTTTAGTGCATTAAAGCTGCATTGGAAAAACATAGACATTAAAATTTGTTTTGTATAATTTAGAAAGAATATATTACAGTAGCACAAATTTCCAATTTTATATTAAAACAAAGATTAAAAATTCAATTGAAAAAAAAAAAAGAAAAGAAATACGAAATGCTTGTGACCCGGAAACGACCCGGGATAGGAACGAGTGCACTTTGGCTCAAATAAATTAAAAAAAGAAAAGAAAAAAAAAGATAAAATACACAAACCATAGAACTGAGTCGTTTTAAGAAATTGCATAAAAAGCGATCAACACTGAGAAAGAAATAATTACTCTTAAAACTATTCCAAAAAAGACAAGTCTCCATAAGTTCAAAGACAAATTAATTGTTTGTGATTTTGGTGAAAAGCAAGACAAAGAAAAAAAAAAAAATAATATCAAACACCTGTCTGTCTCTGGATTATAGATGGTGTTTTACGTTTCTACAAATCAAGAACCCACAGCTAGAGGGTGAATTTCACAAAAACACATCCAGATCACATTTCACCCAAAATCGAAAACAAAAATAAGTTTTTGCATAAAGAAAATGTCAATGATTTTGCATAATACATCATTATGTTTTGCATTACAATAGGGGGTCAAATGTGCTTCATTTTGATTAAAATAATGTCAGAATGCAAAAAAATATGAATGACAAATGTATCATTTATCGCTCATATTTTCTCATATATTCTCAATAAATATGACATGGATATGTTCCTGACTGGTTTTGTGATTCATCCTTTTTCTTTTGAATTAATAACCCATTGTCATAACATCTCACAGAGCTCACATTGACCCACATTTGCATTATATGATCACATCTCACCATTCCAAGACTATTTCAGCAATTTTGGAAAGTACCTGAAAGTTCGCGGGGCACATTTTTGGTATATTTACACGTTAAAAGTCCCACGGCCCTGCATCTCGGTGTAGCTCTTTCATACTGTCGGTTTCCTGGTTGCAAAGCACTCTGGGAGTTATAGCTTTCAGGCAGTTTGGTTTGTAAGGCTGGATAAATTGTCTTTTTTCAGTTACAGGCCCGTCAGAATATGTCCATGAAGAACCAGCTTTTCTTTGGTTTGTTCAGCTTTTTCAGTAACAAAAAAGTCGCTGATATATTACTATGGGATGCCTTTTCTTCCTTTTTTTGTATGATAATTTTTACTCTATCTATATACACCTTAATTTCCAGCGAGACTCGCGTCCTCCTTCAGTTTTGGTCCGTGTCTGTGCCGTATGGAGGCACGTATCTAACTTCTGGTCATTTGATCACGATCAGCGGTTGACGTCATAGAAGGACAAAGGAACATAAAGCGATCAAACATGCAAGACTTTCACCTTTGCCCTCTTCTTTCTCAGTAAGGCCTCCAGACGGACTCGTCTATGCGCGTCGACGCGCTCATCGCCGTGGGCGAGTTGCTGTGGCTCCCGTCGGCATCCACGCCGTCGCTCTGGTTCCCGAGGCTGGCGTTCAGCAGGCTGTTGTTTCCTCCAGCGGTAACGCCGGCTCCGCCCGCCGCGGTGCAGGACGTCAGCATGCGGGTGGGTGACCTGTCGCCTCCTGATCCGGCGCCGCCGGTCGGAACCATGGAGAACTGGTAGGAGCCGGACCCGGTGCCGTAGTACAGGTGGTACGGCGAGGAGTTGGTCTGGAAGTGTGAGTTCTGGTTCTGGTTGCCCGGATAGGGAGGAGGCAGGTAGGTGTGGTAGCGGCTGGAGGTGGGCATGCCAGCTACGCTGAGACCCCCGATTCCGGTGCCGGACGGGTTGGCGGAGTAGCTGAAAGGACCCGGATAATGCATGTGTGAATCAGAGAAACGAGGAGCCGTTAATGGAGACAGAGACGGGAAAGATGTCCTCTGCTGGAACAGCTCCGAACCTGAAGATAAAGAAAGAGAAAGAGTTTAACATCTAATCAATTTCATGAACATATACAGGGATGTGAATAGGTTTGGACACCCATGCTAAAGTTGGAAATTGATCTTAATGCCTTAATTAGAAAAATGAGGAAAAATACAACCTTTAAGGACACCATTTTATTGTGTGTGTGTATGAATAATGTATCATAAATGAATAAATGTTCTTCCTTAAAATACAGGGTGCATAATTCAGGACACCCCTATGTTAAATTCCCATAGACTCAGGCAGATTTTTATTTTTAAAGGCCAGTTATTTCGCCTCCTATATAAATAGATGATGGATTAAATTACATTAAATAAAAAAAAAAATGCAAAATGTTTGTGACCTACAAATGATCCAAAGTAAGAATGCATCTAGTTTTCTGCTCAAATAAAAGTCAAACCTTAAAACGGAGTTCAAATAAATCACTCAAGTATAAAGAAACTGCAACGTCATAAAAAGAAAAAAAAAATATTATTTTGCAAAAAGAAAGATCTTTTTTTTAAAACAACAATAAGAAAAACAGAATGCAAGTAATGCACACGATATTCCACAATTTTGGGGCGAATAATTTCACAAAATACAAAATAATGTTTACATTTTTACTCATTTCAATACTAATAATTGAAAGAAAAAAAAAAATCAGACCAAAACTGAATTAAAGTTAAAAAATAAAATGTTTATTTAAAAATACAAAATAGTATTAAATAATAAATTAATAATTTAAAAAATAAAATTATTATATAATCTTACATTTTCATGACTTTACCATTTAAGTGACTATATTATACTAATATATTAATATGTAATATGCACTCTATTAAAATGATCTGTCATATTCATCAGATGAACATTTGCCACAGAACCCTACTGAGAGACTAACTAATGTCATTTCTGAACGCCTGATAAATTGTAAAAAGAGAGGAGAGGAAGAAGACGATGAAGACTGGTATGTGTTTGACTGGGTTTTTTTTTTCATTTAGTGTTCATGTCCTGTGTGAACAGGTGTAAGGGAAACATCTGTGCACCTGCACACAAACACAAACTGCTGCCCGCTTCTGCCAGTTTGTTTGTTTTCTGGCTTGATATTTCTGCTTATTGCCCACATGTGAGCAAGGGCTGCTGGGATACTGGTGCAGGCTTTGGCATGCAGGCGCCCGAGGGAGGAGAATGCCGTCTGTGCGTGCCACTGACTCGTTTATAAGTTTGTCTGGGGCACTGGGTCCATTTACAAACAGAAACAGAGAAAGAGAGAAAAAAGCATCCAGTTCCATTTCAATATCCTCAACTTATGTTTTCCCCCCTCTTTCTTTCTCTCAGAGGACTGTTGACTTTCTCTTTTACACTTTTAGGGGGCCAGGATCTGATTCGAACTGAGGAGAATTCAAGATTTCAGCTGATGTGTTGATTCAACTGAAATGGCCACAAATTCCAGCCAGACTCACACACACACACACACACACGATTGGTTTTATGTTTTATGGCGACTTTCCTTTGACATAATGATTTTTATACTGTTATACTATCTCCTAAAAACCATCCATCACAAAAAACTTTCTGCATTTTCAAAAAACATCTTTGTGGGGATATTCTGTCCCCATAACATATGGTTTAGCAGGACCACACACACCATCAGAGATTAATTACTAAAAGCGGAAATCTGACAAATGAGTTGAGAAACAGCTGCAAACCAGATATAACACCCAAACCGTAGACATTGTTAACCCTCATTACCCTCACAGACACACAGATTCAGACTCAGTGTCTCCCTCTAGTGCCTCACAGGATATTAGCTATATTAAAGTTTCCAAAGTGTTGCTCTAGATTAGAGCATCCACTTGGCGGATAGAAAGAAACATATTGTTATTGTTATTATAAAAATTGAGAGATTAATTTTCTGCCTGGCCAGTGAAAACTTGCATATAGTGTCATTTTAATGTTTTGACATACTTGATGATGTTTGTACCACAAAAATCATAAAAACCACATTATTGACCCCCTTTTGAAGATCACTGCTCTAGAGAATTACTAGTTTGCAGTGTTTCCATGATGTTTCACATGATTTACATTAGTATCAGTGGAAAAACTTTTAAAAAGAGCAAAGAGACGGAAAGCATGTGGTATAACCATTTATTCTATGTTATTTTCCCCTTTATTAATGTATATTTTGTTTATTTTAAAATAACATTATAAAGATGAAAAAACAACAATTTTAAATAACTCAAATTAATAAATTAATATTAATTTAAATGGTTAAGGGAAAACATTTTTTTTTTACAGAAACAATATTAATATTGAATATTAATATAAGAAATGTTCTATATTGGTTTGGGTTTTCCCTTTTTTTGTCCACACACGATTCAAACAAAAATTAATATGAATAAAACACTTCACAGGATTTTTTAGCAGAAGCAATATTAATATAAATAAAAAATATAATATTTTATATTATAATATAAAATAATATAAATAATATTAACATTAATAACACAATAAAGCAAAGTCGTATTGGTTGATGACTACACTCTAAAAATGCTGGGTTGTTTGTCAAATATGGACAAACCCGAACGTTGGATTAAAAATGTAATGAATAAATTTAACCCAGTGGCTGGGTTTGTCCATATTTGACCCAAAGCTGGGTTAAAACAACCCAGCATTTTTTAGTAGAGTGGGAGTTGTTCTTCCATGGCAATTTAGAACTTTGAAAACTTTAGAATTTAGAAAAGAAACTGTAACATTTCCTGAGAATTCCCATTTCAGTTTCAGAATATGGTTCCTCTCGAGTAAACGCTCTTATCCTTCCCCCATCAGTGCGCAGTTCAGTGTTCCACTAGCCCACAGTCAAGCGTGTAACCCGGCTCACTACAGAGGTTTGCCTCATTTGACTGCTGAGTTTGTTTGTTAACAGAAGAGCAAGCAGCAGCTAGTCAGCAGGAATTGTGCGTGTTTGTTTGAGGATCAGGGTTCTGGTGAGGATGCAAATCTCGGCCCTCACCTGTAAAATGGCCATGCAAAATCAGATGGATTACACCTGGACCAGGCAAATCATGTGGCCAGGAGAGAGAAAGACATAGAGACATAAAGGCTGAAATATATACTTGTTAGTCTGTGTATAATCTAATCAAATCATGTATATTTGCGTTAGAATGACATCAGAAATACCACATATCTAACAATCATACAATAATGTGGATCCCAGACTTGCTTACTTGTTCATGGTTTGAGTTTCTACTATGTGGTTTTATGCTCAACTGGTGAAACAAACCCACAGGAACCAACCAAACTATATTGCTACAACTTGTCAACTATACAGTGGCCTCAAACCATTACTTTTAACCAACTGTTGTTGCACACTATCCAGGGCACGAAGCACCCGTTCCACCACATCCCAAAGATGCTCTGTTGGGTTGAGATCTGGTGACTGTGGGGGCCATTTTAGTACAGTGAACTCATTGTCATGTTCAAGAAACCAATTTGAAATTATTCGAGCTTTGTAACATGGAGCATTATCCTGCTGGAAGTAGCCATCAGAGGATGGGGACATGGTGGCCATAAAGGGATGGACATGCTCAGAAACAATGCTCAGGTAGGCCGTGGCATTTAAACGATGACCAATTGGCACTAAGGGGCCTAAAGTGTGCCAAGAAAACCATTACACCACCACCACCAGCCTGCACAGTGGTAACAAGGCATGGATCCATGTTCTCATTCTGTTTACGCCAAATTCTGACGATGCCCAAGTGTATATATATATATAGTATGTAATGAATTAAAACTTAAAAGTGTGTATATCTATTATAAGTGTGACTTTAGTATAGAGGCTTCTTGGGTCACTGTAAATGCAGGTTGAGTAACTTTAACCTAATACTATAATAGCCTAGTTTTCCAAGTAGGTAAAAGACTGAAGTCTAATGTTTGCACTGGATGTTGATTAATGATAACTGAAGGTAATGGCATATCACTCTGACTGGCAGAGAACCTGAGACGGAGGCAAACATGTAGATCTTGCGTGTTTATGTTAGAGCTGTAGTCCATAAGACAACACAGCATGTCGCATGCAAACTAGCTCCTCTCCGACATGTGCCGCGCTGCGATCTCATACATCAGCATGGGTCAGGTTACCATTCACAAACATCTGATAATGTACTGGAGATTTACAAATCAGGTCATTGATTCAAGACCTGGATCACAGTGAGATACGTTTGTGAATAGATCAGGAATGCTTCCCTCCAGTGAGGAATTTTGACCTTGTTGACTCTAAAATCCATTTGTTGAAATGACTGTATTATTATTGATCCAAAAATCACAATTTTTAAGCAGCTTTTGCTTTTCTAGGACATTGAAAGGAATCAATATTCAGTTCTTTCGGAAGCAATTATTATGAAATATAAGAACGGTTGGATCTCATTATTCCCGTAGGCGTTTTTGATCGCCGCAGTTCAGAGCGGTGAGTCAACATTACACTCACGCAAGTCTGCAGCAGAGAACTCATGCTATCTGAACCAACGACTTCATATCACAATCGTTTCTCATGGACTGCAATGAGATGGAGAGCAGAAGGAAACTCTGCAACTCCTCAGATGTTTCCCCTATGAAAAAACCCCCAGTAGTCTCTTCTAAAGTTTCAGACGCACACTCAAACTCGTCTCAAGCTGAGCTCAGGAAAGCCGAGGTCAGACATCTCAATATATGAACTATTCACGTTCTTTTTACTGTATGTCAACAATTAATACATTTTTGCTTATTTTAAAGATTATTTTTAAGAGAAGACAAACATCCGACACAAAATTGATCCCTAAATGAGACATACACTGCAAAAAAATGCTTTTCTTACTAACTTGTTTCCAGTCTAAATATCAAACATTTCTCAAATCAAGATGCATTTACTAAAGCTGTAAAATGCCATAAGATATTATGTCTTGTTTGCTGGGGAAATGAATCAAAATAAAGTGAGTTTTTGCTTAAAACAAGAAAAGTTATCTGCCAATGTGGTAAGAAAAATAATCTTGTTTCTGTTTGAATTAGGATTATTTTTCTCACCTCATTGGCAGATAATTTAGCTTTTTTTAAGGATCAACTCTCTCCCCTGGAATTAACTCATCTAGTAAATGATCTTGATTTGAGAATTTTTTGATATTTGGACTGGAAACAAGACAACAATACTAAGTAAGAAAAGCATTTTTTGCAGTGTATTTACAAACCTCATTAAATCTTCTAAGCAAATAAAATGATTTTCTGGTAAACTTTGCAATAATATGATCTGATGGAACTGAATCGAATCATGATTCCATATTTGGGGGTTCGAGAACAAATATCTAAATTCTAAAATTGAATTTTGTCTTCCAAATGAAATAATACTGAAAAATCTGTTTGAATGAACTCTCTTTGGCCACGTAAACACTGCAAAGATTGACAAGCACAGTTAAATGTAGGAGTGGATATCCTGAATTATGTGATAATCAACAAAGTTTTTGTGCTATTTTTGATACAACATGCAGAAAAAAAATCACTCCCATCAATACCTACAGACTGAAATGAAACACTCAGTAGAAGAGTGACAATATATTTGGCTGCAGTGTGCATGTGGCCTTTAATAAACGTCAAATATTTCCTCCCTTTACAGAGCAGGGATTATGATGGAACTGCCACCTGGTGTTTTGAAAAATGCCACCTGACAAACTGCAAGTCTATTAGGAACAATAAATCAGTCAGAGTGCAATTAAAGAAAGCTATAACTTAAATGTCACCCGGGCTGGTCGGTGTTTGTGTGTGGTGGAGGTAAAAATGACTCAGCGGGATTGGATGTTTGGGGTTCTCGGGAACAGGAAGGGCAGGAATTCTGCGTCGCCGCGGGGAAGGAAAACCATGCCAGCACCAGGTATGTGGCTGTGTGTCCATGGCAGCGAGAGTTTGTGTTTTCGAGAGAGAGTGTTTATACGTGTGTATGTGCCAAAGCAGGTGGGTGTGTGTGTATTTCACACACAGAGAATGTTTATTGTTGTTTATGGGTGTATGCATGCATGTGTGTGCGTGTGCAAGCGAAAGTATATATATATTTTTTACATTCTGTTTGTTTCAGCCCCTCCACAAAAATGCTGCATTTTGATTGGATCATTAATATTATGATTCCCCCATTAGGACTGCAAGACACCCACACACATCTGCATATCAAAGAAGTTATTTGAGGACAACAGTGTGTGGTTTTTGATGAAAGGCCACAAAAAGGAAATAAAGAAAGTCAAAAGGGTTTGGAACGACATCTTTGTGTGAATTATTCTCTTTGGACATAATGTGTACCAGTGTGTGTTTGTAAAGTCTCTTACCAGACCAGCGTAAGTCATCTTCCACTTTACATGTCTTCAGTGCAGGAGCGTCCATCTGATCAGGCCATAATCCTGCATCAAAAACATATACATATTTAATCACTTGTCAACTGGTAATCTATGAGATACACACAACACACACACACACACACTTAAAATATCAAGCGATATGTGATATTGCTGAAAAATCATAATATTTTCAATCCCTTGACATTAAAGATATCTATTAATTTTCTCTTAATTTGTAAATGAACACAAATAATGATACAATTAAATGTAATTCATATGCAGTGATATAATAACTAGTAATGATAAAATAAAAAAATAAACATAAATATGAATGCAATAAATGAATTAAAAGACAGTTAAAAGAAAATTCTATATACTTTTTGACAAAACTTAAGATAACTGTATTTTGATATTTGCTATTTATTTACATACTTTTTTTTAAAAATTGACACTAAATATATTTTCTCTTGTATGCAGCAATATAAATATATAATAATAAACAGCAATTTTATCTACACATATTTTCCTTGAACGTTTTATTAAATGTAAAAAAAATAGAATTTTAGAAAAATGAAATGTTAATTGTTGAATCGGTTTTGAATCAGTTTTGAAACAGCCAGTTGATTAAACTGATTATTGGAAGTCATCTGAACTCACCAAAGTCATTTTTGCTAAAGAAGTTTAAGCGCGAGATGCTGTTGCTTAATTTTAATTTGATATTTGCAGCAAAATCATCATAAATACACAGTGAATAAATATAATCGCCCAGCCCTATCTGTAGGATTGCGACAGAGTGAATTTGTCCACACACGCTCAGTGTGAAAGAGCTGCTAGTGTTTTCATCAAAGGTGCTGAGAAAAACAAACATGAAATCTTATGCTGGTTTCATGTTACAGACACACACACACACACACACACACACACACGTTAGAGCTCCATCTGTCAAAATGCATGTGCATAAGTAGATAACTTTGAAATCTTTCTGTTTTGCTGACAAGCCAAGAAAAGTATCAGCAAGTCACAAGGAATTTTTTTGGGTGTCTGTTGAAGGTGTGTGTGATTATCACATATCTCTTATCTTTAGCGCGTGATGCCTGTGTGTGTGTGTATGATCTGAGGTTTTTAAATCACTCCATCAGCATTAACACGCAGCTGTCTCGCACACACAAACAGTCGCCGCACGAGTCTAAAACAAGATACTTTTGGAAATATAGAGTATGTTTATGTGTGTGTGTGTGTTTGTCAGTGCACTGAACTGCCAATTTGACATGCAAATGAATCCTGTTTGCTCTCAGTCCGAGATGAGATAGTTGTTTTAAGCTAATCGTTGCAACACACACATATACGTATGAGATATGAGACGTATGCAACTACATTTTTACATTTTCTGAGAAAAATATGAGTCGTGTTTGTCCATGCAAAACCAGTCAGCATGATGCTAGTCGCTGGTTTCTAGAGTGTTCTGGAGGAATGATTGATACCCAAGTCATATTCTGGTCCCTCCTCAAGTCTACTCAATTTGCCTATTTTATTTTTAAAGTCATAAATCAGATCAGATCCAAAAAATACGAGCAAATTTGTCCTCAACAAGCATTATGGGACATGCTACACTTGAATAAATCCCTATATGCAGTACTAATAATGATGCTTGGCTTAGCAAACTCCACTAATGGCACACTGTTCCCAGGTCTCTCTCTCTGGTTTTCTCCGCACAATGATAAATTCTTCAGTATAAATGCTCGTATTCAGGCCACAGCTGGTGCTTCTGCTGAAAATAAACATCTCACTCAAATATTTTGATTGGCCATAGCACAATGTCAATAACAGACAGATTTATACTGCTATTAAAGAAACTGTCTGTGAGCAGTACAATATGTGCGTAACTGAGAGCTTTGTGCATCTCTGACAGGACTCGTATGACGGTAACTCATCTAATTTCGGCTATAATGCCAACCAACAGCAGTGTAGATCGACTGAACTACTGAATCAGTTTGTTCTAGTGAATCAGTTCAGTCAGGCTGCTGTTCATGTAAATGATTCATTCGTTGATTAAATCAACAATTTACTGATTCATTTAAATACCCTGTTGTGAAGTACTAAGGATAGATGGTGTGTTTTGTCTATCTATATTAGATACAAAACAGAAAGAGAGAGAGAGAGAGAGAGAGAGAGAGAGAGAGAGAGAGAGAGAGAGAGGCTGTATAACACTGAGTGGAAATGCAGGCTTTCCTCAGTACCAGCAAAAACAAACACAGCCACCATGAAGTCTGGTTATATGTCTGATCTTTCACCACACCTCCTTAAAACTCTCAAACGCTCTCTGAAGTCACACACACACACACACACACACACACACACACACACACACACACACGTAGTCTGAGACTTAAATGGACCCTAGTACGTTCACTGACTGTCTTATACTGCTTGCCATTATTTTGTGACAATTAAAGGAGTAGTTCACTTTTGAAAAACTTTTGCTGATAATTTACCCCAATGTCATCCAAGATGTCCATGTCTTTCTTTATTCAGACGAAACAGAAATTAAGGCGAAACGATCGCTCATTTAATAAATAAATAACAAAGTTTAAGTTTTATAAGCTCAAATGCTCGCCTTGCTCTGTTCTGTGACGCACGTTCGAGACTCTCCTGTTTGAACTCGTTCATCAAAATGAACGAATCTTTTTCCAAGTCATTTGGTTCATTCAACGAACGAAACGAACGAATTGACTCTGAAAAAGATTCGTTCATTTTGATGAACGAGTTCGAACAGGAGAGTTACGAACGTGCATCGCAGTACACAGCAAGGCGAGCATTTGAGCTTATAAAACTTAAACTTTGTTATTTATTTATTAAATGAGTGATCTTTTCACTTGATAAGACCCTTACTCATCGTCTGGAATCGTTTAAAGCCCTCTGAACAGTATGCAGTTTGCACTGAAACTGTCTTTTGGACCTTGAACCGTTTGGTTCCCATTGAACTCCATTATATGGAGAAAAACGCAGGAATGTTTTCATCAATAACCTTAATTTCTTTTCGACTGAGGAAAGAAAGACATGGACATCTTGGATGACATGGGAGTGAGTAAATTATCAGAAAAAGTTTTTTGAAAAGTGATCTACTCCTTTAAGAACATTTCCGTCCAGCTCTCATGTCATATAAACCATATTAAATTAAATATATAATGAATAGAAATTAAAAATAAAAATATTAATTTCATAGATATATTGTATATGATGTGTGTGTCAGTAACGCAGCATGTGGGATGTGTGTGAGTACACACCACACGGCTCTGCCCGCATCTCTGTGGGCTTGTACCTTTATTCTCTTCAGTGAACTCCCTCTCCGTTTTGGTTTGTTTATTCCTTGTTCGTTTTATTTTCATCTGAAGCAAGTTGCTGCATGCTAACTAATGCCAACTTTAATTCGCCTCCCTGCTCATCTGGCATGACAAAATGTGTGTGTGTACGTGTGTTTGTGAAACGGCGCTGTGTGCTTTTACAAATCTGTTTAACTATGAACCATGTCTGTGTTTGTGCTGTGAATTTTGTAACTTAATATCTGTTTACAGTCATCAACAATCTGCTAACCTCAAGACTCCGGGATGATGCAATCAACACCAGACACACACACACACACACACACAGTTTGCATCAGTCAGGTGGAATGAGAGACCATCTAATTACTGTGTGATGAAGGTAATAAATCTGATGAAACATGTCTATCTTACACATGTCTGTCTGCAAACCTCATACCACACAGAGCTGTCTGACAGAATGTGTGTGTGTGTGTGTGTTAAGATTTAGATATAAAGATGAAGTGGGGATGATACGAGACAGACAGAGAGACAGTGTTAATATCAGACATAACAGTAAGGTTTTGATGTATCACACACACACACAGGCCTACAGCAGTGACAGTCTCCCGACAGCTAAAGCTCTGTTAATGTGTTATGTCTGCTAGAAATGTGTGTGTCGGCAGTCTTGGCCTGTGACAGCTCAATGAAGACATAATTCCTGTCCTAATCCACCTGCAGATATGGATACTAGAGGTACTTTACTCGCTCAAGCACACTCCTGACGCGGTGAGTGTAAATCTCCCATTCTTCTTGCGCTGAGCTCTGGATGAGTTACAGCTTTGGTTTTGCAGGAATGCTTGTGTAAGAGTCCATCCTTCAGAAATCAGGTCAATCTGATGGAGGAATTTACCAGAAACCCCAAACAAAAACACCACTGACACATCCAGCGTCTCTAATTCAACAGCTCATGATGGATAAACTACTCATAAATAATGAAGGTTAAGAAAGAAACCACACTTTTATGGGTTCCGGTTGACCATTACATCATGTCCTAACCAAACAAGTTATTGTTTGTCTAAATGCCTTGAAATAGAACACAATCATATATATATATATATATATATATATATATATATATATATATATATATATATATATTATAAAATCAGATACTTTTATATAAATAAAAGACTATTAGGGTTGTCAAACGATTAATCGCGATTAATCGCATCCAAAATAAAAGTTTGTGTTTACATAATATATGTGGGTGCATGTGTCTAATTATTTTATATATATATATATATATATATATATATATATATATATATATATAGATAAATACACACACATGCTTGTATATATTTAAGAAATATTTTCATGTATTTACTGGTATATAGATTTATATAAAATTTATATTACATATAGAAATATAAATATTTTATATATAAATAATATTTTTTTTCTTAAATATACATTCATGTGTGTATTTATGTATATACAAAATAATTATACACAGTTCACCCAAATATTATGTAAACACAAACTTTTATTTTGGGTGCGATTAATCGCGATTAATCGTTTGACAGCCCCAAAAAATGATATATCTGATGTTAAATATATAATGTATGCATAAATATTTAAATGTTTAACTAATCATATTTTATACTATATGATTTAATCATTATATCAATTATAATTTTAATAGAATTATTACATATTTTGGTAACACTTTACAGTAAGGTTCATTAGTTAACGGTTCAACAATTACTAATACGTTATAAAAATCAAAGGTTGTATAAGTTAACATTAGTTAATGCACTGTGATCAAACATGAAAAAGGAATGAACAGCTGGATTATTATTAACTAACATTAACAAAAATGAATAAATACTGTAACAAATGCATCTCTCATTGTAAGTTCATGATAGTTAATACATGAACTAATATTAACTAATGAACCTTATTGTAAAGTCTAACCCATATTTTTTTAATAACTATTCTCATTATATATTATAAATTATTTCAATTATTTGACTTTAAATGCGAATGGTGAAAACTGAAAAGAATAAAAGAAAGATGAAAGAACAGCAGGCCGTGATATGCCCCTCGGGAGCATTTGGTCTTTCTGTTTTTTTGATGGATCGTAGAGAGATGTGAGTCACGACTGCTTAGATAATCGTAAACACACGACAACTCTGTTTGAGTTTCCACAAAATATGAGCGATTCTGCCTACACTACAGATGCAGTGAGCAAACAAAAACAAATAAAAAAGGCGAAATTGTTTAACGAAATGACAAAATCAAAGCCAATCCAAACAAATCAGACGTTACAAGCTTACAAACACCACCCAACTTACAAATCGCGAGCAGTAAGGAATACGTTTTACGTAAATTTTATAGTTTACGACCCTAATGATTAAAAGAACTAAACGAAATGCATCAATTAGAAGTGAATCAATTAAAACTAACTTTAGCTAGAAAAATTAAATTTATTCTAGAGCTGTCATAAGGCCAAAACAATCTCTGTTACTTTAATTTCCTATTATCCCTGTAAACCCGCTTTGAAACAATCTACATTGTTAAAAGCGCTCTATAAATGAAGATGACTTGACTTGAGGCAGAGATGAGGAGCTATGAGAGTTTGATTGAAACGTGAGTCACGACTGCTCAGATGGCCATAAAACACACCAGTTTGAGCTCTTTAGAAATGTGAGTGATTCAGTCTACAATGCAGAAACAGTGAGCAAACAAGAATGAATAAAAGAAGCACATTTCAGCAACACACACACATTGCTGCCGCGTATGAGAACAGGTGGATGAGTGAAGGGTGGGGTGCGAAAAGTGCCTGGGTGTGTGCGTTTATTTGAGCGAGAGGGACAGAAAATAGAAAGATAGACTGTAAGCGAAGTGCATACGTGCCTTGGAGAGTGTGAGAGTTTTGCTGTTTTGCTAGCAGACATCGTGCTCAAAGGTCTTTACATGCGTCTGAGAACGCATCCTCGCCCACTATCACACACGCTGACGTGGGAGCCGAGATCGAGAGGGGTTGCTAGATTCCAGACGTCGAGGTGCGAGTTGTTGTGACGAGCTAACGTCTGACTCTAACAAACACATACACAGGATCTGTAGGGCATCCAGGGACAAAACACACCTGGTATCTGTGTGGTGCTGGAGGGACTGTAATGGGATTGGTGGGAGCGGGCGGTCCCGTTGCCAGGGTTCATCCTCAGGCTGGCCCTCTGGAAACGCTCGATGTCACTCAGGCGATCGGAAAACTGCTTGTGAGGGTCGTCCGGCTTCACGCGGTGACCTGTAGAGAGAAATGACCCGGAACATGAGTTTGACTCATTGACCAGACAATTTATCCACAAGTTTCCTACGCCCCATGAGGCCTTGCGTCAAAAGTGGGCGCGACTTCCGGTTCGAAGTAAACAAAGCGCGACTTGACATGCTTAACACTCGTTCATTCAACTGTTGACAGTCATTCAAGTTATAGCGATCCAAACTAGCTAACGATGAGGGAACACAACCTCAACGAAATTCAAAAGGGTGAAATAACAGTCCCTTTACCCTCCGCAGTAGTTGATTGGGAGTATTATAATAACATTACTAATACTCAATCCTCATCAAGGCATGGTGACAAACAGTTGTGCGAGCTGACAAACAATTAAAATAAAAAATACACACTTAGTCATTGTGCTTTGGAGTTTATTCAAAATTATAAATGAATGTGCTACTTGAATACATTAACTTTGATCCTGAGTTTAGGTGTAACATCAGTAGCGAACAGCCAATCACATGCTGATAGAGTTTATAGAATATAAAGAATTTAAACAAATGGAAGATTCGTCGTCTTTTGGGAGGTGATGGAAACTACAGTCGTTGGCAGGATCACTCTGATTTCGTTTTCAGCTTATGTTCAAAACAATCACGTTTAAGCCACTGAATTACTTGTAGTTTAGTCCAGTTATACATACAACCGCGAACAGCACATGTTGTCCCTGAGCTCCGTAACGACATCTCTCATAAAGATTTGCGTCTTTAAATAGTAAAATAATTCTCCGAAAAACAGCTAGCCTCTTCGCTAACTAACACACAAAATACCATTGGAATGCTACTTCCGCCGCCATACCGGAAGTTTCACCCACTTTATTTTTTACAGGAGCGCCCCTTGTGGATAGTAAAGTCATTTATTTGAAACAAATCAAGCCAGAAAAGTTGAAACTTGTTAAAGCACTTCGGATAAACTACATGGTTATGCATTACATTACATCTCTGGTATCATGCACATACTTTACGAAAGTTACCAAGTAAGCAAGAAATGTTGTCACACTAATCTCATACATAATTAATATAATTTCCATAATATTAATGTACAGAACACACCCTTTCTCTTTAAAAAAGGAAATATTTTCACATAGCACTTAAAAAATACACTCTAAAAAACTCTACACTCAAGTTGGGTTGTTTTAACCCAACTTTGGGTCAAATATGGACAAACTCAAACATTGGGTTAAAAATGTAATTTAAAAATGTAAGCCAATGGCTGGGGTTTGTCCATATTTGACCCAAAATTGGGTTAAAACAACCCAGCATTTTTTTAGAGTGCAGGCGGCTGCCTTCTTATAACATTGGCAGCAACTCACACACTCACAAAATATAAGTCTGACATTAGCATTAAATGTCAGACTTTATTTCAAATAAAAGTTTGACATTAGCATTTCAATAACAATATCATGTTCTAATAAGCATAAAACATCACAAATATTGTGTAAAATGGTCTGGAAAAGAGCTTATGGCTTTCAGACAGATCTGTGTACTCAGTCGTGACTCATGTAATGCTTGATGATCCACAGAGGAAATCACCAAGAAAAACCTCGCTATGAGTGGTGTGTGTGTGTGTTTATCACTGACAATAATTTGCCATCCCACTTCAATAGCATTACATACACACACACACACACACACACTATCATCATCATCATCATCATCATATGTGTAGTCTGGTCAGCTCTAATGGATGAGTTTAATGTGACTATCAGTGGCTTGTGTGAAGAACATGTGAACGTTTTTGTGTTTTAATGTGGAGTAATGGCTGTATTTGAATGTTTTATTCAGATATAGAGAGATAACAGACGCTGTGATATGGATTTTGTGTGTTCTTGCCCTCTCTTTCACCAAGGGCAATGCATCACTCCACGTTTTTCTTTACCCCTGGGGTAATATTTCTGTTAGTTTATCGCTCCCTCTCATTTGGTTGCCATGCATTGTCTCCCTCTCTCATTCGATCGATCAAAATGATAAATAGTCATTTTTTTGGGTACTTTTTGGTTTGTTTATAAAGTGCGAAATAAACAAACACATAATCCCAGAGGAAGAAAAAACATATTTCTCTGTTGTTTCTCCTAGACTGCAATGAGATTAAATAGAAAACAANGCTCAGAAGTGAATCAATTAAAACTAACTTTAGCTAGAAAAATTAACTTTATTCTAGAGCTGTCATAAGGCCAAAACAATCTCTGTTACTTTAATTTCCTATTATCCCTGTAAACCCGCTTTGAAAAATTCTACATTGTTAAAAGCGCTCTATAAATGAAGATGACTTGACTTGAGGCAGAGATGAGCAACTATGAGAGTTTGATTGAAACGCGAGTCACGACTGCTCAGTGGCCATAAAACACACCAAGTTTGAGCTCTTTAGAAATGTGAGTGATTCAGTCTACAATGCAGAAACAGTGAGCAAACAAGAATGAATAAAAGAAGCACATTTCAGCAACACACACACATTGCTGCCGCGTATGAGAACAGGTGGATGAGTGAAGGGTGGGGTGCGAAAAGTCCTGGGTGTGTGCGATTATTTGAGCGAGAGGGACAGAAAATAGAAAGATAGACTGTAAGCGAAGTGCATACGTGCCTTGGAGAGTGTGAGAGTTTTGCTGTTTTGCTAGCAGACATCGTGCTCAAAGGTCTTTACATGCGTCTGAGAACGCATCCTCGCCCACTATCACACACGCTGACGTGGGAGCCGAGATCGAGAGGGGTTGCTAGATTCCAGACGTCGAGGTGCGAGTTGTTGTGACGAGCTAACGTCTGACTCTAACAAAACACATACACAGGATCTGTAGGGCATCCAGGGACAAAACACACCTGGTATCTGTGTGGTGCTGGAGGGACTGTAATGGGATTGGTGGGAGCGGGCGGTCCCGTTGCCAGGGTTCATCCTCAGGCTGGCCCTCTGGAAACGCTCGATGTCACTCAGGCGATCGGAAACTGCTTGTGAGGGTCGTCCGGCTTCACGCGGTGACCTGTAGAGAGAAATGATCCGGAACATGAGTTTGACTCATTGACCAGACAATTTATCCACAAGTTTCCTACGCCCCATGAGGCCTTGCGTTAAAAGTGGGCGCATCTTCCGGTTCGAAGTAAACAAAGCGCGATTTGACATGCTTGAACACTCGTTCAATCAACAGTTGACAGTCATTCAAGTTATAGCGATCCAAAACTAGCTAACGATGAGGGAACACAACCTCAACGAAATTCAAAAGGGTGAAATAACAGTGCCTTTACCCTCCGCAGTTGATTGGAGTGTTATAATAACATTATTAATAATCAATCCTCATCAAGGCAGGTGACAGACAGTTGTGCGAGCTGACAAACAATTAAAATAAAAATACACACTTAGTCATTGTGCTTTGGAGTTTATTCAAAATTATAAATAAATGTGCTACTTGAATACATTAACTTTGATCCTGAGTTTAGGTGTAACATCAGTAGCGAACACAGCCAATCACATGCTGATAGAGTTTATAGAATATTAAGAATTTAAACAAATGACACAGGAAGATTCGTCGTCTTTTGGAGGTGATGGAAACTACAGTCGTTGGCAGGATCACTCTGATTTCGTTTTCAGCTTATGTTCAAAACAATCACGTTTAAGCCACTAAATTAGTTTAGTCCGGTTATACATACAACCGCGAACAGCTGTTGTCCCTGAGCTCCGTAACGACATCTCTCATAAGATTTGCGTCTTTAAATAGTAAAATAATTCTCCGAAAAACAGCTAGCCTCTTCGCTAACTAACACACAAAATACCATTGGAATGCTACTTCCGCCGCCATACCGGAAGTTTCACCCACTTTATTTTTTACAGGAGCGCCCCTTGTGGATAGTAAAGTCATTTATTTGAAACAAATCAAGCCAGAAAAGTTGAAACTTGTTAAAGCACTTCGGATAAACTACATGGTTATGCATTACATTACATCTCTGGTATCATGCACATACTTTACGAAAGTTACCAAGTAAGCAAGAAATGTTGTCACACTAATCTCATACATAATTAATATAATTCCATAATATAATGAACAGAAACACAACCCTTTCTCTTTATAAAAAGGAAATATTTTCACATAGCACTTAAAAAATACACTCTAAAAAACTCTACACTCAAAGTTGGGTTGTTTTAACCCAACTTTGGGTCAAATATGGACAAACTCAAACATTGGGTTAAAAATGTAATTTAAAAATGTAAGCCAATGGCTGGGGTTTGTCCATATTTGACCCAAAATTGGGTTAAAACAACCCAGCATTTTTTTAGAGTGCAGGCGGCTGCCTTCTTATAACATTGGCAGCAACTCACACACTCACAAATAATAAAGTCTGACATTAGCATTAAATGTCAGACTTATTTTCAAAAAAAGTTTGACATTAGCATTTCAATAAACAATATCATGTTCTAATAAGCATAAAACATCACAAATATTGTGTAAAATGGTCTGGAAAAGAGCTTATGGCTTTCAGACAGATCTGTGTACTCAGTCGTGACTCATGTAATGCTTGATGATCCACAGAGGAAATCACCAAGAAAAACCTCGCTATGAGTGTGTGTGTGTGTGTGTTTATCACTGACAATAATTTGCCATCCCACTTCAATAGCCATTACACACACACACTATCATCATCATCATCATCATCATCATATGTGTAGTCTGGTCAGCTCTAATGGATGAGTTTAATGTGACTATCAGTGGCTTGTGTGAAGAACATGTGAACGTTTTGTGGTTTTTAATGTGGAGTAATGGCTGTATTTGAATGTTTTATTCAAGATATAGAGAGATAACAGACGCTGTGATATGGATTTTGTGTGTTCTTGCCCTCTCTTTCACCCAAGGGCAATGCATCACTCCACGTTTTTCTTTACCCCTGGGGTAATATTTCTGTTAGTTTATCGCTCCCTCCATTTGTTGCCATGCATTGTCTCCCTCTCTCATTCGATCTAAATGATAAATAGTCATTTTTTGGGTACTTTTTGCT